TCAGCCTTAATTCTGCCACTGGCTTTTCCAGGTGTCTAGCTTGCAGAGGGCAGATGGTGGGACTTTTGACCTCCCAATCACATGAGCCAATTCCCACAACAAATCCTGGTTCTGTTTCTCTGGAGCACACTGACTAATACATCCACTTACACGTGCAAGGTTCTCTACTCCTCTGAGTTTCCATAGCCTCATATGTAAAAGGGGGCAGAAATTACAACTCATTCCTGCTTGCTGAAGAGTGAAATCAGTGAAGACATGTAAGCAGCTCACAATAGTGTCTCACAAGCAAAACATCACTCAGTGTCACAATTTACTATGCATTTCACAAGATTCTTTTGTTTTTTTTTTAAACATGTCCCCATTCTGTGCATGTATGTATTCATACTTCCTTTCGTAAACTAGGTAGGATGACCTATCATGAGGTAAATGATATTCTGAGTAACTTCTTCCAACTAGTATGATCAGTCTGAATTATGTTTCATAAAAGCCTCTTCCACAAATAATATTCACAAAAGAATTAGATAATCTATGAAAGATGTGACAAGCCTCATCATGCTCACTAACCATGCATCTTAAGGGAACAAATCATCTCCTTTAATATGTAAACCTCATGGGAAGCGTGATGTAAAAACCAGCAAAAGAGAAAATTTTTAAAATAAGTTCTAGAATATTTTAAGAATTTCTCATGGAATTTTTGCATCTTCAGATTGCAGTGACTCCACATTCCACTGTGAAAGAAAACATTATACATCCCACTTGAAATTACTCAACACATAGTTATTTGGCACCTGCTATGGAGCAGGCCCTGTCCCCAGCATCAGGGATGATCAATAATAAGAGAGATAAAATATCTGCCCTTGTAAAGTATGCATTCTAGTTGGAAAAGACAGGATAAAACCCATAACAACATAAAAGGCAGATGATGTACAATGTTGGGAGATGACACATGACTGTGAAGAAAATCGAGAAAGAGGGATGGGATAGTCCGAGGCTGTGGGTGGCCAGGGGTGCCATACTTAGGAAGTGGTCTATAGATAAGGACTTGAGAGAGACAAGGGAAACACTGAATACCTGGGGAAGAATTTGGGTAGAGAAAGTGGCTAGGACCAGGGCTCAAGCTACAGTGGAGCTGCAGGTGTAGGGAACAGAAAGGACACCTCTGTGGCCGGTGGTTCTCAGAAGAGTTGGAGGTTTCTTTCAGTGACATGATGGGGCACTGGACGGCCCTGTCTAGAAAAGAACGCAACCTCATGACCTACCTGGGGTTTAGCCCTGCTCCAGAGGCTGTGCTGATAGAACACACAGGGGTGGCAGGGCCCTGCTCCTGAGGCTGTGCTGAGAGAACACACAGGGGTGGCAGGGCCCTGATCCTGAGGCTGTGCTGAGAGAACACACGGGGGTGGCAGGGCCCTGATCCTGAGGCTGTGCTGAGAGAACACACGGGGGTGGCAGGGCCCTGATCCTGAGGCTGTGCTGAGAGAACACACAGGGGTGGAGGGAGGAAGGCGATCAGGACCCCGAACCAGGGCATTGGCAGCAAGATGGCAAGACATGGTCTGAACCTGGCTGTGTCCTGAAGGCAGAGCCAGTGGGACTTTCTCCTGAATGGGAGGTGGGCATTACGATTAAAAAAAAGGAGGAGCTGGGGTTGATTGTGAGGACTTAACCTGAGTGTGAAATAACTACAGGGGGAGACTTGAGACATTGAGAGAATGAGGTTATGAGAATAAGGCAGGCATTCAGCTCTGGATACTGAAGCTCCATGTCTGCTGGGCTTGCGTGTGGAATGGTTGACATTGCAACTGGATGCACAGGTCTGGAGTCCATGAAAGAGGGCTGAGCAAGGGGTAGAAGGGAGACCACAACGACGTGAGATCACCGGTGCAGTGAATGTAGACATAAGCTTCCACAGAGGAAACTGAAGCCAGTGCACCATGTAGTGGGAAGAAAACCAGCAGAGGACGGAGGAGTCCTGAATTCAGAAGCTTTGGATTGGTCACTTTTCACTGGTCTGTGATTGGATTCGTGTGAATTGATGCAATAACTTCTCAGATTTTTATGAAAACATTCACCATAATGAATTTAAAACATTTTAAGTAAAACTGAGACATCTTATATCCAAAGCTACTTGTCAGTGGTCTGTATCCCAAAATCTGCATATGTAATATAAACTGTTAAAATTAATTCATATCCAACTACATTTAACAGCATGAAAACAATCAATCTTTATTTTATCCTCTGTCTTCATATCATCAAGAAAAGTTACTTGATCATCTATTGGGGAAAAATCTGGGAGGGAATGCGCTCTGCCCTCTTTTTGATGTTTTCCAACCATATCTCATGGAACCTGGAAATCACTAACCAGCCCCGTCACGCTGTCATTAGGTGCAAAGTGAGACAGAAAGTTAGAGATAAAGCTGCTGTCAGGCTCATTTAGATTTATATGGGTGCAAACACAATGCAGTCCAATTCACATATCATGAAGACTTTACATAAAAGTAATTCTGTCCACAAATCCTATAATATTTTTCAGGAAAAGGAAATTTGATGTGTGGAGAATTGAATTGGTATTCTCACCTAAAATTGAAGTGAGGAGAGGAGAGAATAAAATGAAATACCTGAATTACATTTTAGTGTCTATACAGGTTATGGCTATATTCATATGTAGACATGCCTACATTCCTTTAGCAGAGCTACAAATATAGCTGCCCATAATTTGAATTACATTAATCTGTTTCTTCATGCATGGTGGATCCTTTTCTGAGTAGCTGTAAAAGACACAGTAAAATTTTACTGTTGCTGTCCTTAATGCTGTAATTTCTTGAGTGTTACTTTACTATTTATGTAACCTACCCAACATCAAGGATGCAGGTATGTTACATCAGAAATCTTTTGGAAGGAGGACTAAGATATGCAGAAATCATTGAAGAACAAAAGAGGAG